CCGTAAACTTTTACTTTTAATGACATCTCCTCATAAACCACTGAGCCAATTTCATCCAAACTTCACAGGAATGTTCCTTGGTGGTCACCTTTAAAAATTGTTCAAAGAATTTAATTCCATGCAGAACTCTGGTTGCCATGGCAACCGAAAGAAAAAACTTTAAATATCATCTTTTAAAAAACCAAAATAGCTAGAGCTTAGATATTTGGTATGAAGCATCTTCTAGTGAGTGTCTACCAACTTTGTTCAAATAAAAGCCCTGGGGTCAAAATTGGCCCCGCCCCAGGGGGTCATTGATTTTCCCTATATGCATATAGTAAAAACTTAAAAAATCTTCTTTTAAAGAACCCAAAGAGCTACAGCTAAGATATTTAGCATGAAACATCTTCCAATGAGTGTCTTCCAAGTTTGTTCAAATAAAAGCCCTGGGGTCAAATTTAAATCCGGCATTGTATATGTTGTTTACAGTTATATAGCATACCATTACCCGTAACTTTTCGGAAATTTCCGTCATACTTCGCATTTTAAAGACTGGCATGGTGTATTATTACAAAAAAAAATAATAATAACAAATTTAATGTTTTAATAGTATATATATTTGTTTATATAAACATAATGTATTGAGTTTGGATAAACAAATGTTTAAAATTATTGCTTAAAACATATAAATTGTATTTTATTTTTCTCCACAAAGTGAAATTATTGGTAAATGCTTGTGTAATTGGAAAACTGAATATGTTGTTTACATTAAAATTGAGCGTGTTTAAAGAGACACTAGAGCTATCCAAGGACATATAGTGACTGAAAAGGTAATTCACATGGCCCAAGGAGATTCTGTAATTTAAATAGCCATCGGAAATTATCTGTTCAGTTTATAACAATCTTGAGTGGGACAGTCTTTATATTTTAGGCAGATTTTATCCTAAACATATTCCAATTTAACTGTTGGTTAATCACCATTATAAAAGTCAATCTTTTGAAAAACATATAAAATTCAGCTCAACTTCACAATAAAAAAGTGAGCATAATTTCACTTAAAAATTAATTACATACACTGACGCCATAATAAATGTAATACTTTTGCCAATAATTATTAATTATAAAACTTTTCGCCTCTATTATGCATGCAAAAAATATTACTATAACGGTAAGGTAAAATGTGATATTGTTAATATATATAAAACATTTAAACAAACAATTATAATGACAACACAATAGAAAACTCCCATAATTCAAAACGAATTTAAACTTCCCCTTTCGGAATACTTTGAATTTATTTAAAATTGTTTCTGTAATTGTAAATATACAAAATTATCCGTACAGTAAGCATCATTCGAAAAAGTTATTCTACTTATCTCAGAAACAACTTTATCTGAGTTTCATTTCAGTGAACTTAATGGAGGTTTGAAAACCTTTCCATGAATCCCAAATGATGCATTTCCATTCTGGTGTACAAGTTGCCTTTTGAGAATACAAACCATTTAAGTGCGAGGCAAAACAATCATTGAACCACCAGGCGCCTTTATATTGAGAAGCACAATGTCCGCCTAAGTTGTCATTATCATTATCTTTTGTGCTGAATTCCATTCCATCATGTATATGTCCCTTATTGTTTGGTGCATCAAGAGAATCTCCGGCATTACCAGTGTAACCACCCACTTCGAGTTTGTACTTCATTTCCTCCGGCAGAATTTTAAAGCTTCTATACTTGGCATATGCACGATTTCCATCAAAGTCTTCAAGATCAATTCTTAGCTCGTGTTGTTTATCATCATCGGTCAGTAGATTTAAGTAGTGGTTCCCAAGCCAAAACTCGCCATTCAAATCACCAAATCCAGTTTTATATTCTTCCCAGTCTCGAAAGAAGTCCACACTTCCATCTTGACGTCGTTGGAAGACTGTCCATCCTCCATCGTCAGTATCCATGTCACAGTAGACAGACAGCAGTTTTTCTTGTTTAATAATATATATCTGATAAATACCGCTTAATTTAAATCCGTTGTTATACAGATCCAAACATGAAGTCGCCCTGGTGACAAAGTTTTCTATGCTTTCAAGTTTTTCTTCTAATCTCTTGGTCGCATTGTAAATATGTTCAATATTATCAAAACACTTTTCTTGTGCTTGATTCAGCTGTTCTGTGTTTTCCTGTATACTATTAGTATCTGCCACAATTTTGTCAAGTCTCATTTCTTGTCCTTGCTTTAGTTGTTCTGTGTTTTCCTGTATCATTTCTGTAATTGTCATAATTTTGTCAAATTTTTCTTCTTGAACATTATGACTGTTTTCATATTGTTCTGTAAAGTTATTAGAACAAATTTCAATTTTAGTGAAAGCGCTTTGTAACCGATAACTATCATTTTGATATAGTTCAGTCTTCCTGGTTAGTTGCTCTATTCCTTTCCAAATGTCTGCAAGGACTTGAGAAGTCTTGTCTGTTATGGTTCTTAGATCGGTAACTTGTCGTTGTAATTCGTGTGTTTTTCGTCTTATTCGACTATTTGTCATTTTTTCTTCTTTAAAACCAATACTCAGCCGATGAATCTTTTCTTCTAACTCTTTACTAGTGTGTTCTTTTATCTGATCAGTATTTTTAGTTTCCTTCCCATCACTGTTACTCTCTAGCAATTGCTGTAGCATTTCTTTCATGGAAGAAATCTCATTATACAATGAACCGAAGTCATCTCTCCGAAATTTGCTTTCTGCATTTATTCTATCTTCAATGTAACTCAGTCTGTCATTTATTTGATAAAGTGTCAATCCGTATATTGAATTCACGTAAAGATAACACAGTAAGCTTTTATAAATCAACATTGTCAGTTCTGAAATATGTCCGTTCTTTTAATTATATTTTATATTATAATCTCAACTTAAAAAATATTGGGAAAAGAAACTTATTACGTCTTTATTACGCACCGTCGTCGATTTTATTGGTTTCAGAGCGCCAGATTTCGGGCAATAAGAATACAAGGAAAATGTAAATAAAGTTTCCTTTTAAAAGGAAAGGCTTGCACAGTTGTGCCTTCATCCCAACCCTTTAAAATTGTTTTTTTTTTTGGTTTCAATTTATTATCACAATTTTTTTGAATTACGGTATTTGTATATCATAAACTGTTTATTTAGTTGTTGTTTTTTTTTTTTGAAAAACGAATATTTTTGTCAAAACGATTTGAAATCTATTCTCTATTGTATAAAACTAATTAAGAAAATGATCAATCGTAAAAATACTAACGTGGAGATCTATCTATACAAGTGTGCACATTTCATTTCCCCTTTTTCGCAGAGTAATCATTCGTTTGCTTTATAGACAAGTAATTGCACTAAAATACTTCGTTACATGGTACCAATTAATAAGCATATATCAACTATGTTACACGATCACAAATACGATGCGCTATCTGTAGATCAGCACGTGGCAAGGTTAATGATATGCATGGGCTATTTTTAGATTACCTCACCAAGAAGTTGAATTGCGTTCAGTAGATCTAAATATAACTCGATCATGCGTGATTTGGTAAGCAGGACCACCCTTTGAAGACGGAATACTACTACAGTCACCATTCTCTATTGTATAAAACTAATACAGACAAAAAAACAATTATAAAAGAAACTAACTTTTGCGTCTTGAAAAACAATTGAAACGGAACAATTTCGTTTATAATTTATTACAGTTTAAACCGATAAATCAAGTAAAAATAGAAATCCTATTTATATAAACAAACTGGGATTACCGAAGTAACTAAAATAGCTTAGATTTCCGTAATATAACTTCGTCTGATTCCGCGGTATGACGGAATCGCCCGAATTGTCACGATTGCAATCGGAACTACATCGGCTATTATCATTAATCCGAAGAGTGACGGAAAAGGCCGAAAAGTTGCGATTGGCACGATTGCAGCTGGTTTCCCGTTCAATCATGCACTAACAATTGGAAACAGGAAACCACCTTACCGGAACAAGTTATTCAAAACAAATGGCTTGCAGCCGTGGCTGCAAGCCAAAAAACAACATACTGTAAAATCATTATTATTCGTTGGGCATGAATTTTCGTGGGTAGGTCAATCCACGAATTTAAGATCCGACGAAATTTTATCCCAACAAATAATTCTTGCCATGTCTTATTCTATATATCGGCTCTTTTCCGCCGATTTTTGTGTAGGCAAGGATTAAATTAATAGACAAGCGTTGTGTGATGTACATGCGGTAAGGAAAATGCGCGGCGATTAAGTGTAAGATAACTTTGCAATAGATTATTTATTTTATTTTTGTTTTACAAGAAATTGAAAATCCACGAATTTAAGAACCAACGAAAATGCCCGTTTTGATAAAACCAAGAAATTTCATGCCCACGAATATAAGGGAATTCGAAGTAACGTTTGATAAAACAGGTGTTTCTACTTCCATTAAAGATTTTTGTAAGGTACACAATAAAATACGGAAGTTTCTTTTGCAGATTGATTTTTTTCCGCGGCAATGAAAACTTTTTTCAATTCCAGCAAAAGACGGCAAGAGATTTTAGAGATGGCATTACCAGATGGTAACCGCGTTGGACGTAATATCTGTGTGGGTTCAAACCACGTTAGAGACCAGCCGTTGTTTCTTTGAGCAAGGAACTTTACTCTTATTGCTTAGAACTGACTAGTTCCAGGAACAAAAAACGTGTTTCCAAAAGCTTAAAGTTTTATTTACTGGTTGAGGATGACTTCAGGCACGAGCTGGTGGGTTCCTGAATAGAACCACCAATGTCCCGTAAGCTAGCTGGATAGCTTCCTCACATTTAAAAACCCAAAGTCCATGTGAACTTCAAACCACTTGTTTCTTACCGATGTGGGTTCGACTTTAAATAAACAATAAGTATTAAAAATAGGCTGATCTGATCTGATTCCTGCTAGGGGGACATGCCCACTCTCTATCTCCCCAACCGGGTAAAACTCATATTGCCAAGTGTTTTAATGTTCTATCTTGTATCTAATTCAAAGCATTAATAAAAACACTTTCCCTGTCGTCACAATATGAAACCCAAGAATCAATGTACGAGCATCTGAATATGATTTATTTCTATCATTACCCATTTTCCTGACAATCAATAAGTATAACCAAGAAGAAAAATATAACCAATCAACGAGTTTGCAGGTAACTAATGCCTGAACTGTACATTTATGGGTATACGATGCAAATCTGACAAAATGACAACTATTAAAACAAATTCTGTATAAACTAACATAGATAGGGGTACCAATGCTTTAAGTTTCTTAATAATGTTGTTATTAGTCATTTAGATTGGATTTAGAAATAACTAAGCATGGAATATTCCATAACTAGATAATCAATATGTTTTAAGCTTTTGTAAACACAGAAGTATTTACCAAACTTTTATTACCTGACGCGGAGAAAAAACAAGTGTTCATCATTGATGAAATAAGGCACATGCACAAACATTTCAACGCATGCACAAGATAATGATCTATCAAATGATAACCGGAAGCCAGGGCTAAGACGATAAATGGGAATAAATCCAATTGTATCGCTTAAGGTCATTTATTTTACATTTATTTTTCATTAGTTATGCCTTAGATACTTATATTTTTGAAAACTTTTCATTTTAACGTTACCATTCTTAAAGTACCCAGCAGTAGTCATTGATTTCCATACAATCTCATCGCGGCTCGTTAGCCGTTATTCACAATTACTTAAACACAATATGTCTTTTCCTAAACCAAGTTTTAGATTTTACAGAAACTTAATGTTAAGGATCCGAAGATGGCCCTCTAATAAATTTAGATAATGGTTTCAGCCTGATGCACATATTTCTATGCTAAAATACAGGAATTTACAGTCCTGCAATAAATTCATCAAAATATCTGCCAAGTTTCCGGGAAAAAAAACAAAACTATCAAGATATTTTGGCTAACGTATGCTTACAACAGACTTCAAGCTTATTTATTTTTACAAAGATTAGTTCATATATCATTCGTATCGTGAGAAACTGTTAACATCGCATGATAGAAATACATGCAACATGTGTAACATTTGCTTGATTTTACAATGCCATCTATTGGATGATTTAATATGATACTATTCAGGAATGTGAAGAACAATATTTCTTTGTGAAACTCAAAATATTTGTTTCCTGTTTTGCATGTAAGATCAAATAATGTTTCACTCCTGAACACCAATTCTTGTCTACATATTGCATTTTACGTTACACGGCCAAAGACAAATGTTCCCTTAAAGTTCTGTGTTTAGTAATCTACGGTCATGTAATAATTTTGTAATTGTAATTTTGTGCATTTTCATACGTACTAGACATTGATAATAATCATTAATTTCATTGACGGGTTTAGTAAGGTACATTCATCAACGGTGTTGAAGATTGAACAATTTAATGTCCGTCATGCTTGGGATATTGGTAATAGATGGGTTAAATATGATACACAAAATAGTTGAACAAACAATAGCAATGACTAAACAGACAGACAGACATATCTCTTTTTTTCCATCAAAGGTACATAGCAATACAACAATAGGTATACTACAACTAGATACAATAATTATGATAAACAAACTTCCAGAAGCACTTTAACAGCAGATGAATAGTGTTTTCATTTAGCGTAAAATTTAATAAATGTGTTTTTGGAAATCTTTCAACTAAGATTTAATACGAACAGTGTTCATCAGATAATATTGTTTGCTAGTATATACAAATATAAGGAAAATACTAAATGTAATTGACATACCATAAAAAAAGCTTAAAGTTAAAGTGTATATCAAATTATTTTGAAGTTATTTTGATATTACTGTATGTAAAAAAAGGAAATAAACAATAACACAATAGCGTGTATCCAGATACGCTTAATAACTATTTAAACAAATATGCATGTATGATATCATATACAGATTACAAATGTGATCAGCAAGCCATATTAAAACTTCAAGTTTATCATGCGTAACATTTCGTTCACTCTAAAATTCAAACGTCATAGTCGACTCGTATATGTAAACTGTGTACTTAGCAAACAAATGAGTGTTTTTACGTAGGTGTAACGTTCATATTTGTTTTAGAGACAATTACAATTTTATGACCAGTACCATACTGATCAATATTAAACATTTATCAAAGAAAAAAGCATTCTTAAAAATGAGGCTTGAAAGTACGCCCCTGTAATCTCAAGTCGATAGCCGAAGCACATATACAATTTGCAATGTGAAATATTTCATTAAACAACACATTTACACATTTTATTATCAACAGTAATAGTATTTGTTGGGCAATATTGACCAGAATTGTATTGATTTTCGGGAGGGTGTTTGTTAGTTTTCGTAATTCATAACGATTTACCAATTAATTTTTAATGAAAGTATAAAATTCTCGATACTTTCATTTTAATAACTTCGACCCAAAATGGCCTAGTAGTAATTCAATGTACGCCTCTGACCTCAACGACTCACTTGTCCGCTTGGAAAGGCCAAAACATTTGAAACAGTGGTGGGCGAATCAGTAGCAGAAACTAAAGCGAGAAGAGAAGAAGAAAAGTCTAGAGGGGATTGAGGAAAGAAATGCGACATAGTCAAAGTAATATAAACATTTACTCGAAATTTCTAGTTAGATACTCGAAATTTCGACTTACATTGCACGACTTATATTGGTTGCCGGTGAAAGCAAGGAATTTTTTTACAACAACAACATTTTATTTTGTAAATAAATGCTTCCGGCCAAAACTACACATATAATCAAAACAGATATGCTTTTTTAACTGTGTGTACAATACACTTTGTATCTGACATGTTTTCCTCATTATATTAATTATCAAGATAATTTCATCATTTGATGAACAAAAAAAAGCATATTCTTTATTTTTTCTTCATCAAATGTCAAAAATGATGGAATGTTTAATCATGACGGTACAATGAATAACGTTGTCTTTGTTGAG